ACAACAACAACAAGTAAGCAATAAACCACTAATGTCTATCTCTGTATTTCTATATTAATTTCTATTCGGTTAAAATGGAAAAGTGAACTCTAAATAAATGTAGAAGAGGCTATTATGTCTGACAGCAAGATGAATTAGAGCCAGGATACTAAGAAGGCCTGAAAATAAGGTCACCAAACACTACCAGTGATCTTTGAGGGGATTGTGGATCACAGAATTGGGACCAAAAAAGCTGGAGACTGGCAAATGCTATTCTGATTTTCAAAAGGAGGAAGATGCTATAGCTTGCCAGCTGCAGAATAAAGAATGAGATGTCACTCTCAGACAATGTTTTGAATAGATTCATACAAGGGGCACTGGTGAGCACCTAGGAGTCAGCATGGGGGTCACTAAGGAGAAGTCATGTTAAATTCATTTCAGTTTCTTTGCTCTAACAAGGTCCCTAGCCTAGTAAATTAGAGAACTGTGTTGCTGTTGTTATTAAGTGCCTATGAGTAAGTTCCAACTCAGAGAGACCCTGAGTAGGGTTTCCAAGGAGCAGCTGGTGGGTTTGAACCACTGACCTTGTAGTTAGCAATCCTGTGCTTATCCTACAGTGCCACGTAGAACAGACATAATACATACAGTGTGATGCAGGAGTGGGCAGTGAAAAGAGTGAATTCAACCCTTGGGTTATATTAATAAAGGAGATGATAGCTCTTTTCTTTCTTTGACCACATCTAGAGAATTGCATTTAGAATTTAGCAGCATTAATCACAATGGATATTAAGAGGATGATCTTTTAGAGATCAATTTGGCAAAAGCCACCATTTTTAACTTTCTTTTCTAAGAATAGAAATAGAGAATAGACATAGAGACAGACGTGTGGTAGAAGGAAAGATACCCCATGAAGATCCTCTACAAACCAAGGAACCTACAAACTCCTAGAGTGACTATCGAAGAAGGGATTGGCATGGACCAAATCTGGATCTGGCCCAAATGTTTTAAACTGTAAAGTTCTCATCCAGATTTCTGGCATCTGTTGAAAAATTAAAAGATTTGACTAAGCCTACATTCCCACTTGGCAATGACTGATTGAACTCGAGTAGTGTCTGCCCATGTAGATGGGGCATGTGCTCTCTGGTCCACCAACTCCTCTCATATTGTCATCACCGTGGTGGAGGATCAACTGCCACAATCATCTCACTTGGTCAGCTTCACTCATTTACTCTATCTGTCAAGCACCCAAATGTGCTTGCAGCCTGGAATCAAGTGACCCCAAAGTTAGTGGTGGGAGAAAGCACCTTACATGAGGAAATAAGGAGAATCATTGTCCAGGCCATATCATTAGAGTCTCCAAGCACCCAGTGGGCAGTCATGGGAAAGAGACGTCTGTCTTGTTCTGATATCCCAAGGGGCAGAAACTGTAGGGTCAATAACAAGAGTAGCTGTTGTTAGCTTGTTGCTGTGTGCCATCAAGTCAATTCCAACTCACAACGACCCTATATGATAGAGTCCCACAGGTTTTCCAAGGCTGTAATTTGGCACTGTAGGATAAGCACTGGACCACAAGGTTGGTTTGACCGCAAGGCTGGCGGTTCAAACTCACCAAGCACTCCTCAGAAATTCTATATAGGGTTGCTCTGAGTCAGAACTGTCTCGATAGCACTTAATGACAACGGTCTTTACAGAAGCAGATTGTCAGTCTTTCCCCACGGAACAGCTGGTCGGGTAAAACCATAGACCTCTGGTTAGCAACTGAAAGCTTAACCACTGTGCCACTGGGGCTTCTCTTTGATTGTTGTTGTTGTTGTTAGGTGCCGTCGAGTCGGTTCCGACCTATAGCGACTCTGTAAAGGGTTTCCAAGGCTGTAAATCTTTACAGGAGCAGAAAGCCTCATCTTTCTCCCATGGAGCAGCTGGTAGTTTCGAACTGCTGACCTTACAGTTTGCAGCCGAATTTGTAACCACTACGCTATCAGAGCTCCTTCTCTTTGGTAGAGTAGTGATATATTTAACCCAACATCATGAAAAACGTTTACCACAACCAGAGCTGTCCAAAGATGGATATGTAGGCTTGGCAAGTGGTGAGTTTCCCATCAATGGCGATGTATAAGTACATGTACAAGTATGCAAATGATATATGGATATATAATTAAGGGGATTTAAGTATAAAATGGAGTCCTGGTGTGGTGTTGTAGGCTAATGCACTGGACAGCAAAATGGGTTGAACTGCAAGTTCCATGGTTCAAGCTCACCAACCACTCCTTGGAAACCCTACATAGAGTCGCTATGGGTCAAAACCGACTCAATAGCACTTAACAACAAGTATACAATGGGACAAGAAAAAGGTATAAGTCCAGAAATGTTTATAATATTTTTTTTAAAGGCTGTTTTAAAGCATTCCTCTTTGTTAGGTCAGTGAATTCTGCAAACAAAAATAAAGCGGAATAAGTCAACAAAGCGCTCAGGATCATTTTTAAAACCAAAAGTTCTCTTGACAAAATCAACAGAGTACAAAATCTGTCTAACCAGGTGAATGGAGCCTTTGCACCAAATTGGCCAAATGACACCCAGGGAAAGAGGTAATTGATACCACGCATTATTTTCGGGGATTGGTCAATCTCTCTTCTAAGCCCAATAACAAAGGCAATGGGATGAAAGTAAGAGGGTAAACAATGAAGCTCAATCAAGATGCAGCCCGTCCCCACCCCAAAACTGCCATCTGCTACTGACATTAATCCTTCAAGGGGCAGCTTCAGGCAAACAATGTATCTGGGAGCACTAGGCCTGGAAGGAAACCATGAAAGGACTTTTCATAGTCCCAGTCTTGTGACCTTGAGCAAGTCATTTAACATCACGGGGCCTCAGTTTCCTCATCTCCATTACGGAGCTCCTAACCACCTTTTTGTACATCTTGTGGATCAACAGAAGAATGTCTGGGAATGAGTCACCAATGATATAAAGACCTGTACACACATCAATAATTATGAGGATTGACGCAAACAGGATAGTGAAAGGAAAGACTCCAGAGGGCACAGTAGTATCCTGGCCTATACCATGTGGGTGTCAACTCTCAAGGAATAAAATTCAACTTCTTCAACCAGAATGCAGAGGAAATTAGAGTCTGGAAGAGACAAGATCATCTAGACAAATTTCCTGATGAAGTTTAGACTTTGCACTGGCTAATGAGTGATAACAATAAAAGTGAAAAAGTGATAGACTCAGTCATGAGTGTTTAACTGCAGCGACAGCATCCTTCACAAAACACATTTCCTACTATGACAAAGCTTATCAAGCCCAAGCTGTCCAAAACTCAATGTCCCCTCCTCTATTAAGGCATATTTTTCATGAGAACCTCAGCTTAAAAAACAAATCAGCTAAATCAGTCTTATAAGACATGAATTCCCAAAAAAAGTACATATTTATTCAAGGACTGACACTGTGTTTTTTATTGAGCAAAGAGCAAATTGGATGAATTCAAATTTCTGATGAATAAAGAGCTTGCATGTAAATGTTCAGCAAGGTTGAAATACCAAAACACTATTTTCTACACTGAATTGAAAACTACAAAGGAGGCAATAGGGATGAGAAGGATTTTCCTGCTCATTTCACACAGGGGTCTACCCAGAGGTGATTCGCATGTGGTTTCGGTCAGAACTAAAAGCCTGAAAAGATTGTTAATGAGACTGGAGAAAAAACAAAGCCTTCCCCTGGTAACTCTCCCCTCCCAAAGTTTCCCAGGCATCTGAAGCGTGTGTAGCAGTTGTGGGCACCCAGCCTCCTGCCGCGCCTGAGAGGGAGGCCACCCGGCATCCTGGGCCAGGGAGTCTTCAGCTGTAGTGGCACCCAGCCGCAGGTGCGGCAACCTCAGGTCATTTGAGCCCCAAATAACCAGCTTGCTTAATAGTCTGTACGTGACCTCAAAGATGGGCCTGAACCTCCCACTGAAGATGTATTTATCTTGAGTCTTTCTCTGAGAGACTGCAGCATACCGTGTGTCACAGCAAGGAGAGACTATGACCAGAAAGAAAATGGATGGAAGTGACACGGGCCCGGGCTTCCCTGGAGAAAAGGCCAGCATGATGGACAATGCATGGACATTTTTGCTACCAAAGCTGAGCCCATTACTGCTGGTGGTGGGAATGGGAGAGGCCCCCTCTGGCCTGGATGAGGCTTCTGCCTCTATGACTGTGCCTGTTTCCTATGCTGCCTTGCTATGTAGCTGTAGGGAGTTGGCCTCTGTAAGAAGTGTGTACCCAGTGACACCAAAACCAGAACCAGCAGCCTCCTGGCAGGCTTTCCCACGGACTGCTGAAGCCAGGCGGCACCTCCAGGCCTGAACCGCACGTCAAGCAGTTTGCCTTGAATGAAGGCTGCTGATACTAAACGTTACTGCTCGGCCAGGCTCAGTGCTGCACACCACAAGATAATACATCTCTGAACCAATGCCTTCATTCTGCCTAGATCAATATGCCCCTTAACAGTACATCCATAGCAACCCAGGCCAGCTGAGCCACCGACAAAGAGGTAAAGCCCAGCGATGCTGCCTGTGCACATGCATGTGAATTCCAGCCCAGGGAAAGGCGAGGCAGAGGCAAGACAACAACAAAAACCAACAAGGGGGGTAAAAGACCTGTGAAAAATATGCATTAACATCAATGGAGTTTGACCATTTGAAGAGGAGGGCAGCGACCGTCAAAATGGCCTTAGTAACATGTCACCGCCACAATGATGGAGTATCAACGACACTCCTAAAGTCGGGTGCAGGATCCTCCTCACACACCTGCAATGCAGTGATTGCTGCCCGTTCCATAACCCATACTCCCAGACCCAGCGCTATCTGCCGCTGAAACCATTCCGGACTTGTACAGCTGCTGCCACTGTTCCTCCTCACAATAAGATTATTGATGCATAACAACATTTCATGATCGCAAGGAGGAAAAAGGAAGGGGGAAAAAAGCCAGAGTAAGCGCAAAGGGAGAGAGAAGAGGAGGGAAAACTCCCCAGCCATATCTCACCTTTTATTTGGGCTTCATATTCGGCAATGATCTCTTTGTCTTTCTTGAACTTAGTTTGAGATGACATCTTCCGTGGCCAAAGAGACTGGCAAGCTGTTTGATTTATTTCACCTTTTCTTCCCCAGTCCTCTCTCAAGCCCTGGTAATCACACGGCTCTGGTCGATTTCACAGGTTTAAAGGGCTAATCTCTTTGACTTGACTGCAGAGTGGAGGAAAAAGAAAATCTTTCTCCTTCTGGGAGGAAAATTCTCTTTCACTCGAAAAATGGCTTGCTTTGGTCAGCTCCTCTTGCAAACAGAGAACCACCGTTTTAACACAGCAACCTGCCCTGGATTTTCAAGATTTTTCTTCCAGAAAAATAACCACCCAGAGCACTCACACACTTGCACACAACCACACTCACGCATGCACTCTCACACTCATCCAGAGAGTATACATACGGTCACAGTGTACACACACACACACCCTCACTCACACACGCATACACACTTGCTCACTCACTCACACACACATCCCCGAGAAGCTCCTCCTTGGTCGTGCAGGCAGCCCCCGGCTGGCTTTCGAAGGTTCTGCTAAGGAGATGGTCGGGTTGCCAAAGTGCCGGTCATCTCGCATCCTCCCTCCCTTTGGCGCCTCTGGTCTGATGTACAGTGAGGATCAAAGCCAGGAGCACGAGATGGAAGTTTCCCTGCTGCAACGCTTGAGCTCTGGTGAAGCCAGGCTGGACTGTTCGCCCTGCAGGGCTGGCTGAGCGCTTCCCCACCGCCCTTGTCACCAGGCTCCGCCTCCTGGATTTTATAACAACTGACACATTGTAGCCTACAGGAGAGCAGAACTCACTGCAAGCAAAAAGGGAAGAAACACTCACAAAAGGGAAGGCAGCAGGAAAAAGAATCAGGTTAGAAAGGCTTGCGAAGCCCCTGCAAACTCCAACCACTAGCAGCTCTTGTGGAGAATTTTCTTCCAAAGGTTTACCATGCCATTTCATTCTATTTCTAGCAACAGCTAGATGACGGTCTGTCACTCTGCCTGGGGAGTCTAACAGAGGGCCTGGCTCACTAGTATTTGCTGAGCAATTCCTAAGTGACAGGGACTCGGCCAGACATCCAGACACACATGAGCTGGGTGCTGCCTTTGGACCTTTGAGCAAGTGAAAAACGCACTGAGCCTCAATTTAACCACCAGTAAAATGGACTTTCTTTGGAGGCGCTTTCATCCATTCTTCCCACAAATATCTATTCAAAATTTACTATACCTGTATATCAAACACTGTCGTGGACAGGGCCAGCAGTGACCAAAATAGGCCAAAAATGTCCTCCTAGATCTTACATTTGAAACAAGGCAAGGTCTCCACATCACAAACCTCACAGAGTCACCAGCATTCCTGCTAATATTCATGAAGCACCAATCGAATGGGTTCTTAGTGACCCCCCTGAAGTTGTGCAAAGCAGGAGACCCTGGGGGGGGGAGGCGGGGAACAAAAGATAAACATAATGAGTAAATTATGTAATATGGCAGAATATAAGTGCCATGAAGAAAAAAAAATGTGGCAAGGTAAGGAACCGGAATAAGGAGACCTGATATGGAGCTGTAGGACAAGCACAAGACTGCTAACTGCAGGGTTGGTGGTTCAAATCCACCAGCTGCTTCACAAAAACCCTATATGAGTCGGAACTGACTTGAAGACACTTAACAACAACTTGCTAAGATGTTGTTGTTGTTGTTGTTGTTGTTGTGTGCCGTGGAGTCAGTTCCAACTCATAGCGACCCTGCACAGAGTTTCCAAGGCTGTTAATCTTTACGGGAGCAGAACGCCTCATCTTTCTCCTGCGGAGCAGCTGGTAGTTTCGAACTGCTGACCTTGCGGTTCGCAGCCCTATTCGTAACCACTATGCTACCAGAGCTCCTTACTTGCTAAGATAACTACTATTTATTTATTGAGTGTACACTAAATGCCAGGCAGTGTGTTAAGCTTAGGCATTATATTACATATGGAACATAGTTCTACTCTGACACACATGGAGTCTCCATGAGTCAAAATCAACTTGATGGCAATTAGAATTGCAAGTGAAATTATTATTATATTATATTTTAGTATATAAGCTATACTCCATTATATCCACCCAACTACCTAACAGGATAGGTATTGTTGTTGTTATTGTTGTTAAATGCCGTTGAGTCAGTTCCAACCCATAGCAACCCTGTGTAGGGTTTCCTAGAAGTGGCTGGTAAGCTTTAACCAGCGACCTTGAGGGTCAAACCAACTTTGCAGTCCAGCGTATTAGCCCACAGAGCCACACCAGGACTCAGGATAGGTTTAAACACCCCTTTTTCACAGATGGAGAAACTGAGGCTTAGATATGGGATTAATCAAGATCACATTCAAACCCAGGCTATCTAATACCAGATATTTGTCGGTGGAAATGCTCATGCAGTTAGGATAGCATAAAAGTCATTCTATAAGAATAGAATTAAACACTATAGGACCAGTGGCCACTGAAATCTCACATATTAAAATTGTCATTTACATGTATTTTCTGCTTAGTTAAGTATTGAACCGCAAGGTCAGTTTGAACTGCAAGGTCAGCAGTTCAAACTCACCAACCACTCCTCGGGAACCCTATACAAGGTCATGAGTCAGAACTGACACAATGGCATTGTTATTGTTGTTGTTGTTAAGTGTCATCAAGTCAGTTGTGACCCATAGCAACACTGTATAGGGTTTCCTAAGAGTGGCTGGTGAACATGAACCACTGACCTGTGGTTCAAACTGACTTAACAGTCCAGAGCATTAACTCACAGCACCACACCAGGACTCCAAAAATTGTATATTCACACTCAAAATAAGTACATAGTCTGAAATTTTCCTTTTTCAAGTATAAATATATATTTATAGATACTGTTGTTGTATAGTGCTGTCAAGTCAGTTCCAACTCATAACAGCCCTGTACAGGGTTTCTGAAAAATGGCTACTAGATTTGAACCACCAACCTTGCAGTTCAAACCAAAACAACAACACAGATATATAGTACATATAAACAAATAATAAACATGTTGTTGTTAAGTGCCGTCGAGTTGGTTCTGACCCATAGCAACCCTGTATAGGATTTCCAAGGAGAGGTTGGTGAGTTTGAGTCACCAATCAGAATTGATGACTCCCATACAATGATTAGATTGTTGGTGGTGGTGTTAAGTGCCACCAAGTCAGTTCTGACTCATAGTGACTCTGTTAGGAGCACTGGTGGGTTTGAACTGCCAACGTTTTGGTTAGCAGTTCAGTGTTTATTCTACAGCACCACACATACCAGGAGTCTATGCAAATAAGGTGATTGTGACCTACCAAGAGGATTGGACAGCTTGCTAATAATGCAAATAAGCATGTGGAACTCTTGTGGGGGTGAGATCATGCAAATAAGATGTAAGAACCCCTAACAAACATATTGACCAGTTTTGCCATTCCACTAGGCTTAAAAGGAGTTAATCCCAGGAGCAAAGAAGGGGACTCACTACCAACAAGAAGAAGAGCCAGGAATGGAGCCATCCTTTAGGAAGTCCTTACCCCACGAAGTCAGCGAGAGATGTAACACTGGAGACAGTTTGAGACAGGAAGAAGCAAAGGCGACAGAATGAGGAAACCTAAGCAAGACACAAGGAGAGAGCTGAGAACCTGCAAGCAGAAGGCGTCCTGGTGAAGTGGGGTGCCTTAGGGCACTTTATCAGAGATGCTAAAGAGTTTCCTAACACTTGGCCAAGCAAGTTCACCCACAAGCACCTTAAAAGAAAGACCTAGCAATCTACTTCTGAAAAACCAGCCATCGAAAAAGTCAGTGGTGTACAGTGGTACTCTAATATATATGGGTTTATCATGAGTGGAAGTTGTGCAATAGCCACCGGTTTTATAATTATTTTTACAAATAATTAATAAAACATAAAATAAATCATTTGAATTGGGCTCAGAAATGAATAGATTATCCATGGGGGGAAATAGACAAAATTTGACCATTAGGCAAATCTGCTGCACAAGACCTTTTTAAAGTGTTGAAGAGCAAAGATGTCAGCTTGAGGACTAAAGTACGCCTGGCCCAAGCCATGGTATTTTCAATAACCTCATATGCATGCGAAAGTTGGACAGTGAATAAGGAAGACCGTAGGAGAATTGATGCATTTGAGTTATGGTGTTGGAGGAGAATACTTAAAAGTATCATGGACTGCCAAAAGAACAAACAAATCTGTGTTGGAAGAAGTGCAGCCACATTGTTCCTTGAAGGCCAGGATGGCCAGACTTTATCTATCATACTTTGGACATATTGTCAGAAGGGACCAGTCACTGGAGAAGGATATCTTGTTTGGTAAGGTAGAGAGTCAGAGAAAAAGAGCAAGACCCCCAGCAAGATGGACTGGCAAAGTGGCAGCATCAATGGGCTCAAGCATGGCTCAACAATTGTGAGGTTAGCCCAGGACTGGGCAGTGTTTCATTCTGTTGTGCACAGGGTTGCTATGAGTCGGTACCAACTCTATGGTACCTAACAGCAGCAACAACAGAATTCAACAAGATATAAAAAAGATAATACATCATGACCAAGTGGGATTCATACCAGGATGCAATCAATGTAAATCCACCATATAAATATGAAAAAGGAAAAGAATCACACGATTATACCAATTGATGCATAAAAGGCATTTGACAAAACCTGACATCCATTCTTTTTTTTTTTT